TATAAATTGAACAGCACCACATATTTGATATGTGTGTGTGTACGTATCTTACACTAGATAAATAGATATGAACAGATAGATAGATATGAATACATAAATATATACATACATTTGAAGATACAGATAAATAGATAGACAGATAGATAATGGACAGATTTAGATAGATAAATAGATAGATAGATAATGATCAGTTCAAACGTTATTTTTAGTGGATAACCATATTTGAGTAGACGCACCGTTTATTTTAAACAGTATCTTTATTTTCGTTTAGCAGTCTGTATATTTGAGAAACCTTATTAAAGATGAAGAAGCGCCCATAAATACTCAGGTTTGAAGGAAAAAATGTCTGATAAAGAATACATTCATTCATTCTTTAGAAATACATACATACATACATATATATATATATATATATATATATATATATATATATGTGTGTGTGTGTGTGTGTGTGTGTGTGTGTGTGTGTGTGTGTGTGTAGTGCGTAGTGCGTATTACATCAATCGGCCTGTACATTCGACGTGCCCGGGGGTTAAAACACACTGGATTTTGATCCAATGTTTTAACGCTCGTGGCTTCACCGACATAGGTTCTTTAATAAAATTTCTCAAATAGGGCAGACTCATAGACGTCATACTTTTATTAATAAACAAAAATGAGGCGTCTATTTCAAATACGTAATACCCCTTACAATAACGTTTGAAGTAAAAATATATAGTAGAGAAAGTTCACGAATGCCTCTTCTTATAAAATGCACGTACAGTCGGCAGATGAAAAAGTTCGACAAAGAAAAACTAATAATAATAATAAAATAATAATAATAACTATTATTATTATCTGGAAGTACGAAGGAAAAATATATCGAAAATTGAAATTTTTGGGCAACGCCCATTTCTTTTCTTAACGAAAAAGAAAAATCACACACACACACACACACACACACACACACACACACACACACACACATATATATATATATATATATATAAGATTTAAGAAACAGCAGATATTTTTTATATATAGTGCTCAATATTAAAATAAAATTAAAAAATAGAGCGTAAATAAGATTATATGAAAAGATTACTTAACTTTTAGATATAAATTTTATCCCGACTTCAAAGTTTCTTGGTAAAATTTTCAGTCTTCAAGGGTTCTGGTTTTAAATAGTATTTCCAATTTTTACATTTTTTTTTTTTTTTTTTCAGAAAGCCATGGTAAAAATATTTTTTTTACATCTGTTACCCACCCGGCTTTATTTAATTAACGAAATCTCGAGAAATTCGATAGCGTGCCTTTTAATGATTATATTAGGTAAAAGCAGAAGACTTTGAAGAATATAAATCATCGATTTTTTTTGTAAAATCGATATACACACCCAACCAAAATTCAAAACCCAATAAAACTGAGACATTGTTTAATTAGAAAAGCTTTTATGATTAATATATGTTAAGGACAATATTGTCCGAAGCCAAACATTTTTTGAACTGTTTTCTTCTTTTTTTTTTTTCAATTTTAAATACAAAATGTGAGAAATGTGTTAAATATTTTAAAAGTAAATTTCAGTCCGTGCCCTTTAAGAAATGTTGTTATTAAGTAACTCTATTCTTATAGATCATAAATTTGAAAGGTTATTACAATCGGCGATACACAGATATTTTAAAAATATTTTTGAGTATACAAAATGTTTTTTTCCAAATATGTGGATGGACGTCTGAGACATAAATGTCACATGTTTTAAGAGCTGTTTCCCCTGACAGCAAGAACCTGTCCTTAGAAAACATTTTGTTTTCCTTCTGATGAGCACGTGTTAAAGTCTCTGACTATCATCGTTGCATTTTCAAAATTTTGAATTTTCTTTTTTACTTCCTATTTCACTAAATATTTTATTTTAATTTTTAAATATAATTAAATTATTATTTTTCAGTGAGAGGCATACTGCAGTTATTAATTATTTTCTTTTTTTGTTTCAATTTTTTTGGGACGGAGACAGTGCAGGCTTTGGATATATCTTCGTTAAAAAAGTAAAAAAAAAAAATTCTAAAATTAGACTTTTTTTAAAGTATTTAATTTTAAAAATTACTGTATAGCTAAATTAAAAAATATTGTCACTTCTCTCCTTCCGTCCGATAACTTCCCCTCACGTAAGCTGCCAATACATTGACGTAAACGTCAGTTCACACCTCCAAAACAAGTCACCACAGTTAGACATGCTTCTCATATTTTCGAATAAATTTTTTCTGCTAAAAAATTAAGTCATATTTGTTTCCACTTACATTAAACTTTAATTTTTCTAATTTTCCTCAAATAACTTTTAAAAAAGGTATAATTGATTTTTACAATATTTTTAAACGGAGAATTTAGCTTTTGTTTACATATTTCTAAAAAAATGGCGGATATCATCAATTTTTGGCAATTTTGCTGACAAAAAAAAAAAAGATTTTTGACTAAAATTTCGGACGTGGTAGGAAGGATTAAAAAATGTAAAAAATAATAAAAATGCTTTGGTATTTGCTCTTAATATTAAAATAAATAGACGATAAAAAATTGTTTTCGTCAACTTCAAAGCCTTTTTTCATCAGTGTATGCTCTTTTTCAGTGAATTAGTGGACATATATATATATATATATATATATATATATATATATATTTTTAAAGAGAGAGAGAGAGAGAGAGAGAGGGAGAGAGAGAGAGAGATTATTTTAGGATATTACATCGAAAATGTGTCAAAATTGCTACACAATTGCAGTTGTGTTTCGATATGTATACAACACATCTCATGAGGCGATTGTAAATTATTACCCTCGACTGCAATTGTGTAGCGATTTTGATATGTTTTTCGCTGTAAAATCCTAAAATAAAGAATATTCTCTACTTTGTATTTAGCCCTCTTTTAAATTAAATGTTACGAAAGTTGGAATTTCTACTCTATTCATTATCATCTTACCTGGACATATATATATATATATATATATATATATATATATATATATATATATATATATATATATATTTAAAAGAGACTGACCAACAAAAGGAAAGGAATAAAAATTCATATTAAAAAGATTAAAAACTAAATTAAAACTAGAGACAAAAAAATTCATTTTCTCCATCAAGACATTCATTTCTGTAGTTCACTGCTACAAGCAAGCATATTTTTTCTCTCCTGATGATGGCCATGTTGGCCGAAACTAGTCGAGGAATCTAAATGAAATAATAATAAAAAAAAAAAAAAACGAAAGAATATTAATCTACAACCCAGTGTGTCTGAAGATTTTAATTTTTTAATATTTTTTATTGTTCAATATATATATATATATATATATATATGATAAAAGAAGACGGATAAGTATCCGTCTTCTTTTTATCATTATAATGCTCTATAGTCTACATTGAGCTCTCCTGGATTTATATCTTCCTCAAAATTATCCCTTCCAGTCACAAACTGATAAGACGTATATATATATATATATATATATATATATATATATATATATATATATGTGTGTGTGTGTGTGTGTGTGTGTGTGTGTGTGTGTCTTAAATAAAAATATATGTAGAGAGAGAGAGGATACATCTATAGATACATATATAGATATATAGAAGTGCTGAAGAATTTTCGGTCAGACATTTCGTCAACATTTGACCGAATGAATTTTTACAAGATCTTGGTCAGATCGACCACTTATCAGCACTCCCTAACTGTATAAGTTCAGGTTTTTATAGTCTTGTGCTGCTTACTGATCAAAGAGAATTACAGAGAATAAAAAAAATGTATTCTTTCAAAATTACTTCCGGTTGACTACTCTCTCTCTCTCTCTCTCTCTCTCTGCTCATTTGATTATTACAACATGCCCCGTCTCTGTCTTTTGGTCATCCACACAGACTACACACGCTTCTTAGAATGTCTAATATGTTGATGAGGAAAGCATCCCGAAGAATTCACTAAATGTCAACGAACACGTAGGCAATCAAAAGAGATTCTCGGAGATAAGAGAAGCGTAGACAGAAAGAAAATAGATGTGTCGATATTAACAGATTTCCATAATTTCTATTTTGGTCTGCTGGTCAATGTCATATCTATCGAGGGACCGGCTTGGTGGTTGAGATAGTTGTATGTTTGAAGTGGTAATTCAAGTAGGATTTCGATTGATGAAAAAGAGCCCTTCCCAAATTGATAAATTAGGGAAACAGGAGCTTCCTATCTCTTCGCATGCATTTACTCTAAAACGCAATTATTCTATCTATCTATCTATCTATCTATCTATCTATCTATCTATCTATCTATCGTAGTTTGTTCATATCTTTCTTTTTATCCTTCTTTAACTATTCTATTCTGTTCATATCTATCTATCTATCTATCTATCTATCTATCTATCTATCTATCTATGTTCATATCTTTCTGTCTTTTTGTCTTTCTTTAACTCTATTCATATCTATCTATCTATCTATCTATCTATCTATCTATCTATCTATGTTCATATCTTTCTGTCTTTTGGTCTTACTTCAACAGTACTCTATTCATATCTATCTATCTATCTATCTATCTATCTATCTATCTATCTATCTATCACAGTTTGTTCATATTTTCTGTCTTTTTATCCTTTAACCATTCTATTCTGTTCATATCTATCTATCTATCTATCTATCTATCTATCTATCTATCTATCTATCTATCGTAGTTTGTTCATATCTTTCTTTATCCTTCTTTAACTATTCTATTCTGTTCATATCTATCTATCTATCTATCTATCTATCTATCTATCTATCTATCTATCTATCTATGTTCATATCTTTCTGTCTTTTGGTCTTTCTTCAACAGTACTCTATTCATATCTATCTATCTATCTATCTATCTATCTATCTATCTATCTATCTATCTATCTATCTATCTATCTATCACAGTTTGTTCATATTTTCTGTCTTTTTATCCTTTAACCATTCTATTCTGTTCATATCTATCTATCTATCTATCTATCTATCTATATATCTATCTATCGTAGTTTGTTCAAATCTATAAAAAGCTAGGCTTTCGTTTTCATATCAGTTATCGATTTCTCATTCTGTTCATACGTGCATGCATAATTTATTCTGTCGATGCTTATTTTTATTTTTTAACTTTTTTTAGCACACACGCTCTCACACAAACACACATGTATACGCACACACGCGCACCTACACATATATAACATCCTGTCCTAGGCGCGCATGCATAAACATTCTTTCTCTTCTTTCGCATTTTTACTCTCTCTCTCTCTCGCATGCAATGACCGTATATAACTCCCAAGCGCAGACTCTTGTGTAACAAAACTCACAATCCTATCACACATACTCACACATACAGCGACAACAATACACACACTCACATGGATAATGCGCACTCTCTCTCTCTCTTTCTTTTTTTCTTTCTTTTGTTACTCTTTCATTTTTCTTTATTTCTACCCCCCCCCCCCCCCACTATTCTCTTGAATCAGTCGGACACAGAAAACGGATTTGGGCAGGAATCAAACGCCGGCCTCCATCATCCGTCGGGTCTGGATCACGTAGGACGTTTCTTTCGAAAAAAAAAAAAAAAAAAAAAAATGGAAATAAAAGGAAAAAACAAAAACAAAAAAACATATCTCATAGTCTATGTCGGCACGTGAGTGTCGAGTCAGTGGGTGTGTGACTAACAAGTCACATGACTTTGAAGTTGATCCAAGCAATCAATTTCTGTTGTTTGAATTAAGAGACATTTATATTTTTGCATGAAGAAAAATAAAACGCAGAACCTCACTCCATTTCAGTTCAACCGAGTTTTACCACGCCCATGCTCGCTTCTTTTAGGCCGGCTTCTTAAAACAAAAAAAGAAGAAAGAAAAACAAAGAAAGAAAGAAAGAAAGAAAGAAAAAAAAGAGGAAAGAAAAATTCGTCTGTCACGTACGCACAAAACAGTTACACCTTCGTACAACGATCGTAAACAGGTTAAAAAAAATACCGTATGAGTTGGAAATGCTATACGAGAAGAAAAGCTGATGTTAAATAAAAATAAAGATGATTAATTTGAAAACGTAGTTAGAAGTAATTTAATAATAATCGGAGAGATAGAATGTTGTCGGGAAGAAAAACCGAGACAAAACGAAGAATGAGCTGATAAAAAAACAAACAAAAAACAAAACAAAACAAAAAACAAACAAACAAATAACAACAAAAACAAAAAACAAACAAACATCGTAGTCCCAAGAGGGAATCACTTATGTCACCCTCTTGACTTGGGTACATATGAACTGTGCGAGTTCCTACTGGAATGTCGCAGTTGTCAAAAATTCATGGGTTGTAGTTACACAAAAAGCCATTTCAAGGGTAGATAACTCTTCCTTTTAAATGGGCTTAATGCTCGTCAAGCCAGTTTTGTCTTTTAGCCTAGGTCATTAGTTTAAGTTTATGATGTGCCCTATACTTGTGGTCTTGTGTCAAATTAAGTTTAGTGAATAAAGAGGCGCCTTGACTTTGTTAACGAACCAGTTTTTCTGATCCTTACTTCTTAGTAGCGAGTTTAAGCAGCAATGCTAATGCTCAGTTTCTGTGACCTTGTGTCAAAACTGTTAGGTTGAATCATAAATAATTCCGCTTTTGTTTATCAGTTTTTTCTTCAAAAAAATAAAACACATTTAAACTCCAGTTTATTTAATAATATAATCGCCATTATTTGCAATGACTTGTTGCCACTTATCAAACACTTTGATGCCTTTTGAGTAAAATTCCGTAGGTATTTCTTTTTAAAGCAAGGTAGTAAAGCCACTAAGACACAAGGAGTTGCTGGGTGTTAAAGAATTAGAAAACAAAAGCATTATTCCGGAGGGAGAACAATCGAAGAATAATCGGGAAGACAGTAGATAACGATTGCATTTAAATTTTGAAGATCAAACTTGACTGGAAAGCTAGAATCTGGAAGAGAGTTCCACAAGCAAGAAGTTCAAGAAAAGGAACTGTTAGCATAGAACTTACGGTTACATTTAGCCAATTCAACTACAAATTGATGAAACCTTGTTGCTAATCTAGTACTCTGCTTATATTTATAAAGTCTAGGTACCATAGCAATTTCGATGAACACTTAAATCTGGTTGTCATGAGATAAATTTTCTCTATCAGAGCATTTTGCAGTTATCGAAAAAGTCAGTAATCTGTTAGTGCAAGGTCAAGTGAATATGAGGGTTGGGTGGGGATAGAACATACCAACCGAGTTCTTTCCTGTGTCCTTCTTTCTGTATGTTGCCTTGTTTTGTCAGAGAGGAAAACAACTTTTTTCCTTTAATCCGCTGTGTATGCTGCCACTGCTATGAAAAGGTATGATAATATACACCAAATTTCTTCTTCTCTCACTTATGATTGGTAGTTGCAATGATATATATATATATATATATATATATATATATATATAATATGATATATTCATCATTACAATCATTCATTTTATTCGATTAGTGCATTTTGCACGGCTGTGATTACCACTGCCCTCCATTTCACAACTGCTGTTCGAGGTCATATATAAGACAGAACAGAGTTTCCTTTTAGATGCTGAGGTCACCAATTCTCAGAGATGAATTTGCTTTTTAGTCTTTGCTTAAAGAAGTAGGCCCTACAAGGTGGTCCTACAAGGTGTCCTGGATTCAGAGTTTCCTTCTCCTAGACTATAGTCTGTGCTACTATTTTACCCATAGCTGGAGGGCAGAAGAGAAGGATTCCTACATTTCCAAGTGTATTAGCTTGTAAGTGAATGTAATGAAATCAACTAGAAATCGAACTCGGCTCTCCGATGCCTCAATCCAAGCCGATAACCATTACTCCACCGTGAATTACAAATACTTTTCAAAACCGGAAATTACTTATGACTCAGCCCAAAAATATTTTTAATGCGCCTTGACGTGTGTGTGTGTTGGTGGAGGGGGTTAATATTTAGGGTAATGAGGCTCCTTTGGTCGACTCCCATTTGGCGGCGTACCTAGTGTTTATCTCCCCGGGGGTGGCCGTACAATTTGCCGACTCTCTAAAATAGCACAACTAATTTTTCAAGTTACTTCATTATACTAATTCACCTAAAATCCCACCCCCATCCCAACTTGCTGACGGGGACAGACTGATCCTCCTTCTCCTTTTATATTCACCAGTGCTCTTACTGTTGTAATTAGTTCGATCCTCACTCTGTGACTAATAATTTTGGCCTTGAGCCCATTTAGTAACAACAACAACAACAACAACAACAACAACAACAACAACAACAACAACAACAAAAAGCAACTAATTTTAAACGAAAGTTATTATTTTCATTCGTTTCTCTCATCTATTTTTTTCTCTTTTATAATAAAAGGGAAAGGAGACACCATGGTGTAGTGGTTAGCGGCTCAGCTTGAGGAATCGGAGAGACGAGTTCATTAACATATTAGATTATGGAGAATATTTTCCTAAATTTTTTAAAGGTTACTGGGTAGTTAAAGAAAAAAGGCGTTCACGTTATATTCTTCAAGTAATTTTTATAAATATGTCCACAGTAGAAAAAAGTAGATAACGTTCTGTCAGTCATGTGTCAGCACCTTAAATAAATAACTTTCGCCGCATTAAAAATGCATTTCTGTGATATTTCAAGTAATATTAAACTAATTAAACATTAAATCAGCTAATATTCCTCGAATAAAATTTCAAAAAAGTATATTATATTTTTGAAAGATTTTTTAATAAAGAGAATTACATTGTGATAATTAAAACGACGCTAAAATATGCCATTTTTAAGGATTTAAAAACAAAAATTACTTTCTATCAATTTAAATTAGTTTTGAAATACAGCAAAGCTTTTTGCTTACAGGAGCTATTAAATCTAATCTATTAGCATGAAATTAAAACTAAAATGAAAGCTTCAAGAAAGAATTTTCATTATTAAAAATTCATTTTAAAAATTAGTTGTCGCTGAGGTACATACTTTTGAGTATATTTATTTTCAGAATTTATGACAAGATTTTCTATTTTTTGAAGTTACATGTCCTTTCGAGACGTAGGCGTTCATGACTCTCCACAGGTTCCTTTATTATCTGTGATTTGCCATGACTATATAGTTTCTTTCTTGCATTTTCAACGGTTTGGAATTCAGAGTTATGCTTTTCCTCGATTTGTTGCCACCAAAAATTAGAGAACATAGTCTATTTGGCTACTTAACCGATAGCCATGGTAGGAAACATATGAAGTAACGCCTATCCCAAGTGTATTTGAGCGGAAGTGAATACAACAGCATAAGATGGAATTTGAACTCGGGTCGCCGATTACACTTTCAACAATAATAATCCTTAAACTACCTGAATATTGGCTCCATTTTATTATCGTTGACTTATTTTTTATTGTATTTAACTAGAGATATCGTTTTAAAACTGATTTTTTTCTGTTTTTATATTTATCTAATAAAAGTAACATATTTACGAAACGGAAAGGATTCCATTGTTTAAATTTATATATATTTCCGCTTTATTGCACAACAGGGAATGGGATGGATGGGAAAAAAGACAAATGTTGCTAAGAGTTATGAAACCCATATCCTGAAGGGACAGAAGCAAGTAGAGAATAACCTAAAGAAAAAGCTTGTGAGAAGAGTGAATGGTATAGTAAAAACACGAATATTGCCAGGCATTACAGAGGACAGGAAGTTGGGGAGAGCCATGACACCCTTATCCTTAATAGACAGATGAAAGCAGAGATTAACCTACTGTCGAGCTTGTGTAATGAGATAGTAAAAAGACATACATTGCTAAGCATTAGGGAGGATAGGAAGTTGGGGAGAACCACGAAACTTTATCCGGAAGCGGCAAATAACGCAGAGATGAACCTACTGAACGTGTTTGTATGAAGAGTGAGTGGGAAAATAAAAAGAAAAAAAATTGCTAGGCATTACGGAGGTTAGGAAGTCGGGGAGAGCCATGAAAGATGTATCCTGAAGCGGCAGAAGAACGCCGAAAATAACCTACTAAATGGATTTGCGTA